GAGAGAGAGAGAGAGAGAGAGAGAGAGAGAGAGAGGGTACTAACCGTGCGTCGCTACGATGGATATCACCTACAACGTCGAAGCTGTCGTTTCGATGTTGGAGATAACATCCATGATAGCGATAGCACCGTTATATACACAGTTACGACCCGACAAAAAACGTGTGTGTGTGTGTGTGTTTGTGTGTGTGTGTGTGTGTGTGTGTGTGTGTGTGTGTGAGAGAGAGAGAGAGAGAGAGCCAATCGCCGGGACGCATGTGTGAACTTCGTGGCATGCACACACGACAGCCAATCGACGGGAAGACATGATGTCATCTGGCACGTCGATTGGCTGAATGGATTGGGGATGGATTACACACAACTGACACACACACGCCGCTGGCGATGGCAACCGTCGTCGTCCGTCCGTCGCCCCACGTGCGGACGACCACGGCCCTCCAATCCGCTGTACCGGTCGCCGGCAAACCGACACGCCCCTCACAAGCAAAAGAAAAAAAGAAAAAAGGACCAAAAAAAAAAAAAAAAACTAGACCAGGCCTTGCACAATGCCACCGGCCACAGGGACCCAGCCGTAACGTGTGTTCGTTCGTCAGACAAAACCGGAGGCCGACCATGCCACAAGTCAAAACGTTCCGAATCCAAACAGACAAAAAAATAAAAACATAAGCGAAAGGTACCGCAGGACACAGGATCGGCAAGTTCGGCGTGCACTATAATTCAGGGTTGGCAAAAATAGGTTCGGAGGTACTAGTGGTTTAAACCACCAGTACCTCGCCCTGCTTGAAAAATCTGACACGGCTGTTAACGCGCCTCGTCGGTGTGGGGTACCCACCGACCGGCGACTGGTAGTCCCCAAAAAACGGGCGCTAAAAAAAAAAAAAAAAAAAAAAAAATGAAAAGAAACAGCCTGAAACAGACAGGCGCGGCCGAGGGGGGGAAGGGGGGGGAAGAGAGAGAGAGAGAGAGAGAGAGCTGTCTCTTATACACATCTAGATGTGTATAAGAGACAGGCATTGTAGTGACGAAGTGGAATGAACCGGCCACACAACGGTCAGTCTACGACTACATTTCAGTACTAATGAACATAATAAAGAAGAACGAAAAAACATAATAAGTACATTACAAAAGAAAAATTGCAGAGAATAAGAGAATTTTAACGTGGGAAAAAAAAAAATGAAAAAAATAAATAAAAACAA